TTTGTTTGTCCGAGGGAGCAACAGTAACTAAGGGGGGCGGGGCTTACCGATAGGTCAATTGCTACACAAAACTAGCCCAATCGTGTTACTTAAAATACACATTTTTCGGCAGGGCTCCTCCTGTAAAATAGCACTCCAGAGGCTGATATCACCTTATTGGGGGTGTTCAAATAGCCCAATTCCGCGGGAAAACCGCGGACTTGGCAACACTGGTTAACCGTCAAGCTGAAATACGTCAAAATAAAAGTCCACTACGAAAGGTCAATAATTATGTAACTCCAATGAAATTAATACATTTTAATTTTTTTACCTAATGATGGTGGTCACTGAATCCACATTCTGAATAAAGACAAAGTAACAAAATCTACAGGTAGCCTATATTAGTACATCATGTTATCTTTATTGAGAGGCCACAGCTCTTGCATATTACAACTGTTGGCTTTGATAAGGCAAACGCAAGAATGAATCCACCAGCTAATTGACACAGAAAAACAAAAAAAAGCTTTTGGAGAAGGTGGATCCCACAGGCATGCAGCAATGGCTCAGAATGCAATGTACAGCATCATATATACAAAAACAATAGTGAGACCCCAAAAATGGCACATAGCAGTTTCAACAGGTCTACTAACATAAAGAGAATGACTTTAATTGGACATACAAACTTAAAAAAGAGAGATAGAGATCCTCTGTAAAAGTGAAACTGAACCAAAAATATAGCCGTTTTTTGTTGTCATTTCTGACATCTAATTAAAAGACGTCTCCAATGAGACATCAAAATGGAGGTATGGCAATATTGCATTTCTAGAATACCAATTCATTTTCATTTTAAGATGCCTGTGAGACAATGCCTAGTTGGATATTTGCGACATAGGGCCACAGAGCCACGACACAAATAAGGAAAAAAGTACAATGGAAATGTGCAGACACAGAAGACATTTACAGTTAACAGTTTTGAACTTAAATAGAGGTTCATTTTTAGTTTTGAAGCAGTTGGCATCCACTTTAAAAACAGACAAGACAAAGAAAAGGGTCCATACACTCATCTTCACAACAATGTACCATTAATGTATGTAAGAGTACGTCAAAGAAGCGCCATATATGTTATCGCATTGGACAGGGACACACCTAATAATCTCACTCGACATTATCAAACAAATGGTACTCCATATTGCTTAGGAACACATAGAAACAAATTCCTCAAATAAATGAGTTGGAAAAATTGGTGCTAGTTCGCTGTTCTTATGTTATGATACAGCTAAAATGGCCAATCATGGTCTTTGCAACGTTCTTTTTACGCTTTAGTACAATTCTTTGATTTGTATTGTTTTTTTTAGCTTAGTTTGTGGGCAATTCGAGCTGATGGGGGGAGATCCTAAAGTGGCTAACTGGGTAATCAGAGTTGTTACATGCATCTTACGTTATCAGGCTAAGTTTAAAGTGTTGGGGTAGGGTAGAGTTGGATAGATGGGTCGGGTTAAGGGTGGTGGGTGGCACCGGATGGCTCGATGCTCTAATCATCCTCCTCGTCTTCCTCATCGCTGTCCTTCATCGAGATGCCCTGCATGCCCCCCTCTCTGACAGAGGCAGTGGCTTCCTCCAGGATCAGCCGGTTCCGTACCGTATCGTACGCCTTGCTGTTCAATGTAGAGTCAAGAACGCCTTGCAGCCTAAAATCTCGATATTTCTTCTACAAGAATGGGAAATATCAGCAAGCATTATACGTAGTATAAGACTTCTTTGCCCCTGAATGTTAAAGCTAAATACCGTATGTCAAACAAGGCCAGAAAGAATAGCCAGACTAGGGATGCAAGCTATTAAAATTCTGGACAATACCGATAAATAGCTGATATTAACACTCAATACTAGCCTATTTCGTCTAAATTAATTACACTGGCAGCCAAAAGTTTGGAATAATTATGATTTTCAAATGTTTTTTAGAGGTGTCTCTTATGCTCACCAAGGCTGCATTTATTTGATTACAGTAAAAACAGTAATATTGTGAAATATTATCACAATTTCAAATAACTGTATTTTAATTTAATTTTTTTTAAAGTGCAATTTATTCTTGTGATGGCAAAGCTGAATTTTCGGCAGCCATTACTCCAGTCTTTAGTGTTGCATAATTCTCAGAAATTGTTCTAATATGCTGATTTGGTGCTCAATTATTCATAATGGTTTGAATGTTGAAAACAGTTTTTGCTGCTTAATATTTTTTTGTGGGTGATACATTTGTTTTAGGATTCTTTAATGAATAGGAAGTTCACTGAACAGCATTTATATGAAATAGTTTAAAAAAAACATTCTAAATGTCTTTACTGTCACTTTTGATCAATTTAATGCATGCTTAAATAAACCATAAATACATAAATTTCTCTTTTCTTTTTCTTTTTTTAAATCATACTTAAACCAAACTTTTCAATGTTAGTGTATCACAGTTTCCATAAAAATATTAAGCAGCAAAAACTGTTTTGAACATTGATAAGAAATGTTTAAGCGATTAAATGAAAAAAAAAAAAAAAAAAAAGAAAATTAAGAAATGTTTCTTGAGCACCAAATCAGCATATTAATGGCTGCTTTGCTATCACAGGAATAAATTACATTTCAGAATATATATTCGAATAGAAAACAGTCAGCATAAGAAACTTATTTCAAAAACATAAACAATCTTAATTATTCCAAAATTTTGTGCATTTTGGAAAAAAAGTGCATTTAGGAAGCACAACATTATAATGTACAGTATGAAAAATTAATTTTCATGTTGAGATTTGCAGTGTTATTAATTAAAAAAAATATGGTAACACTATTTTAAGGTGCCCTTGGTACAAATGACATGTACTTACTCTTATAATAGCAACTAATTATGCATAATTACATGCAAGTAACCCTAAGCCAAACCCAAATCCTAACTCTAACCATATAGTAGTTATATGTAGTTAATTAATATTACTCAGTACTTAAATTCATAATTACACTGTAACAAGGACACCTTAAAATAAACTAACCAAAATTACTACTACTATTAAACTTCATTTTAAGTGAGTGTTACATGACAGAAAAGGTAATCGACAGGTAAGAATAAGGGAAATGACCATGCATAATTTAACAGCCTATCTAATATAATACAGCAATTATCCAAAAGACCAATAATACTATGATAAATTTAAAAACTCAGTATGGTACCAATTTTGTGCATCACTAAGCAAGACCTGAATAATAAACTGAAATCTAGAACAAGACGTGTGGATTTACCTTGACTAGAATCATATTACTCCAGCTTCAGAGTATAAATACTTTCATTTAAGTTATTAAAAGGAATACCTTTACAATCCTGATGAGGATTTTGAGTTGATAGACATGAAGCTGTTGCTCCATGCGCTCAGTCAGCCAGGTCGCCAGCAGATTCATAGTGGCTGTAAACCATTGCTGCAAAGCACAAAAACACAGCATTCTCCAGCAAAACACAGACAGACAAACAAATGCATGCAAGAGACCAGCATGTGTAGACATACATAAAAGACATACAGCAACAGCCACACGGGCAGACGCGAGTAAACCCACAAAACACAAACTTAAACACTCCATTCACACACACACACAGACAACTGATACCAACATTTACACAATCACACCCTCACTTAAAACCAAGGTTAGTCAGATAATTTGAAATTAATTCAAGAGCCAGCAATATGACCATCTTAAAAAACTAAAAATGCCATAATTAATAAAACAAACACTTAATATGCCGTACATTTACAGCTTAGCCTGTAACCTAAGTTTCAAATGACTTAATACAAATCTGGTTATCTGAAATAAGCTTGAACAAAAGCCTTATTCTAATCAAAAGTCTTTAGCTTTTAAAAGCCATTCGAGGAAAATGAAACAGATTAAATTCATTGCTTCCCCCGCCCTTCACCATTAAATTATGCTGAATGTTATAAAACAGCACTTGTGCATGAATGACTGACCTTGAAGGCTTAAAAATCACCACTGAACCCAAAAGCATACTCTAAAGAGCCCAAGATGCAAACAAAATTAGTGCAGTCGCAATCAGGATTCTCAGAAACAAACTCATAAAAAAGTGAGAATACAGCAGGCAAAGGTGTGTTGTACTGTTATCTTAAACCACATCTACATTATGAAAATCTCATATTCATGCATATTCAGAATCACCTAAATGCTTGTAGTTCAAAGAGAACGGCACATGTGTGGTTCAATGAATGATGTAAACTACCATTTAGAAGAGGAAGTGCTGTATCCTATGTGAACAAATCAATCTGAAGAGTTTTGAAGTGGGCTATTATCAGTTCTCAAAGAGGTACAAATAGCCTTTACCATTTAGCCAATCCATTTATATGTATATATAATGATATTATACACATCATTTCTTATTACTTGATATGTGATTATGTGAATTAAATCAGATTTCTTGTTGTATTAGGGCCATCTGATGGTTCGATGGGCGATTTCTCTTTACATCTGTCCACTTCAAATAGGTGGCCGGTCGGAGCGTGCAGTGCATGCAGGTGAGTGTACAGGGCAGAGAGCTGTGTGTGTGCATGAGGTGGGATTTTTAGGAGGTGGGTCATGCTAGAAGATGTACACAGGAAGATTATTTGATTAGAACTCATGCCACTCGACAGAATGTGATCAAACAGCAGGACATTTAGAGATAAGTTCCACTTTGGCCTAGAAGGAATGCAGAATGAGTCAGGATGCTGTCATTGGGTTAGGATAACGCGAGTACAAAGTGTTTAGAGAGGGAGAATGTAATGAAAATGATACAACAGAAATATAGCTGCATGCAACCAAAATCTGTAACACAAGTTGCATAATTCCAAAAAAAAAAAAAAACACCACGGTTGCCTGTTCAGACAATACATGATGCTGGAAGAGAGATATTCAGCTTGGAAAATGGAGAGCTGCCAATCCTGTTAATGTTCTGGTCCCAAGATATGGGATTTTTTTTATTTTTTAGCCTAATTTATGCTTTTCAACGTTTAGAAAAGTAATTATGTAACTTTCCTCAACAAGACGCACAATTTGAGGTATCATTCATGTCCAAAAACTATGCGAATTAGTGTTTGTTCAAATATGTAACCCTGAATGTAAGTTTAATAAACTTGAATTAGCAAGTAACAGTGACCAATCAGTCCTGGTAATTGTTTTTGACGTACAGCCCTCAGCTGAATATGCCTTTTGACAACTGACCTCATAAGACCACACTGAACCTAACAAATTTCCACAATTTCAGTCTGTTTGACACAACTGTCCAAGCAAGAATTCAGTTAAAACATGCATTTTTCTAGCCGCTATTCTTTAATTTGACAATTAACAGTCAATATGTGGCTGCTGCCATTCTGAATTTTGGTATTTTAATAACAGCTTTTCATTTCATGCCTCGCCTCTGAGCCTTTCACTGACGGTGATTAGTTTGGACAGAATTTTTGAGAAGACATTTTAACAGAGACAGACTGAAACTATAGAGCAAAAACAGGACAAATCATGCCAGATTCAATGTGGGTCTTTGAGGTTGGATGTTAAATGCATTATTACAAACTTAGTGTGGAGGGGAAAAAGACATATTGCACATAACAAGCACTGAATTTTAAATAAAATAAGAAATAAATAAAGGCAGATCCATGCATAAGATGTGTGTCACAAATGTTCCAAACACAAGCAAGTAAAGCTGCAAAAAGTTACGTAATAGACTTCCTAACAGTCAAACAGACACACACACACACACACACACACACACTTTTATCCACAATATTCTGATACATACAACTCATTACAGTATGGTATGACACACAACTAAATATTCACACTCATATATATATATATATACTGGAAAAAAAATACAGAAAATTAAATAATAATAAAAACGCTGACAAACCCTCACGCGCGCACACACACACACGTACACATGTATCCAAGACAACCACTGGTCCACACATCTGTTACATTTCTTATTAAAATATATAAACACACATGTATGCCATTGTGTAACGAAGACACATGTTCACAAAATCACAAAGGATTATTTTTCTAAATCGAACAGTGCTCTCTTATGGCCTAGATCAGTTGGTATTTAAAATCAGGACAATCGCTTTCAAATTTGATTTGAATTAATTTCATTCATTGATTAAACTGCATATCAATATGTAGAATTAATTAAAGTGTACAATTAATTTTATGAAAAGCGGTGATGCATTGGTTTTTGCAATTGCAAAAAAATGCAACTGATACTATAAGCTTGAATTGCTTTGATGGTTCGAAAATCCCGTATTACCGTACAAGTTAGGTTGTATAGTTAATTGCATGATTTTCTTTTACATTTTTGTATAATATATTACTTATTACGATCGGCCCTTTTTTCTCTGTGATGTTTTTGTGTCAGGGATTTGATAGCATTTAAAAAAATTTAATTGTGTGTAATGTCACACTTTTTGGTTCAAAATCTACTTTTTTGAGAGCACTGTCTTATAAATAATCCACTTAGTGACACTTTGCCTCTTAAACAAGAAACCGCTGTGAGCATAAAGTCCAACGCACGTTAGCTAACACAACACCAGAGCACAAAGGTCCAATGCATCGTGGCTAATGAAACACCAGAGCACAGAGAGCTGGAACAGGAAGTCACAGCAATGAGACATTAGGGAGCTGACTGAAAGCTTCAGGTCATGATTGGACTTATATGTCTGGATGTAAGGTCTCCAGGTTTGGCACTCAAAATGTGACTTATCCCTCGTATGCCCCATTGTTTTGCCACATTTTGGATGGGCCCTCCTTTGTTAGGCACGGAGGTTACGGCATCTTACTTACATCAAATAATCTCTCTATATACACCTCCTCATTGACCTTATCTCTCAGAATGTCCTGAGAGTGACGGACAAAGGTCACATAGCCATCTGCAACGTCCATCCCTGGTTTCTGTGGAAGGGTGAAACCAGAAAAAAAAAAAGTTTTGTATGGAACGGATGTGAATAAAGAAGATATATTAGGGAAAGTATGTTGAATTTTTAGTACTCACAGGGACATCCACATATTTTGATGCTGCTTTCACCTAAAATAAAAAAAAGTTTGACTCAAGTGCTTCTAGGCAAAATCACTCTCCCTTCAAGTTGCAATAAGTAACTTTTTTCCTCTTATTTTAACGCCTAAAGGAATTTTCAGTGTACAGTAAAACTCATTACCACTATCATATTGAAATACAGAAATTCATAAACAAAAATGACATGTGCACCTTTAAACATTCAGAATGATTTCATGCTAGAATTTAATCAAAAAGGAAAATAGGAATTTAAGAGATAATTCTTACCGTGAAGGAGAGGAAGGAGGAGAAGAGAGTTCCCTCATCGTACCTGGAGATCTTGGCAAGTACGCTCTCCAGAATGACCATAAACTGTTCAGGTGGCACAAAACCAATAATTCAATGACAAACAACCAACAAGAGTTGTACCAATACAGTACTTTCTTAATGCCAACCATTTTCTCAAAACGTACCTTTGCCACCAAGAGTGAAATCATGTCTTTTACACTCTCTTCAATAAGCTCATCGATTTGAGAGTGGTACTGTTTCTAAAATGACAGATTTAAATACTTAGAAATACTTATATGGTGCGTATATATAAAGACAGAGAACTCAAAAACCAAAGATGAATTCATACAGAAATACAGTAGATGGCCAAATTCAAATTGAACATAAAGATGCAGATGCCTATACAACCAAATTCATCATTGTATGGGATTAAAATACATTAGTTGACACATTAAAATATGCAGCCTTGTAAAATAATTATTGAGGTTGACTATTATATATAAAATAAATAACTATTGAGGTTGACCAAACATGAAATTGTACTTAATGGAGACATTATTATTTTTCCCATAATTCCAATATTCTACACAACAATTCTAAAAAAAAAAATTCTTAGCGTTCTTTAAAAATTCTTTCCTTCTTAATGTTTATTCTCAAACGTTTGCATGTTATTAAATCCAAGAAAATCTATTAAGTTTCTGGGATTCCTGAAGGTGATGTGAAATTACCAGTATAGATCAAGCTTTTGTCTATCACAACAATCAGAAGTTCTGCCAATTACCTCCTGGCCCATTTCCATGGCACACAGTTTAGCAGACTGGTCCTTGGCGTCCACCATCACATTGAACATGGTGCATAAGGACAGTGGGATGCGGAAATCTGTGGAACGGCTGCTTTTGGCCAGCTTAGATTCAAATGCTGTCTTGGTGCTGTTGACCAGCAAAGCGTGTGAAGTAAATGAGTCATCTTGCATGAAATTTCATTCACACTTAAAAGACATACTTTAAAATCTTCGTTTTGAATCTGTTTAGTACTAGAGATATTATTTTTACCGTTTAACGCTTGTCTCAATCATGTCACTTGACATGAGCTTCATACGGTTATCCAAGTGTTTGGCAAACTCTTCTTCCGGCCAATGTAGGTCCCTGATGAAGGTCTGTAGGGCATCCAACTTCCAGAACAGATCTTCTGATGTTCCCGATCCATTGCTGCCAGGTATAGTAACATTTTAGAGTTAAAAAGTCCAAAATATTCAGGAATTAAGGAAGATTTACAAAACACTTCAATAACCTCGCATTTTTGCGTGGTTATTAACCCTTATAGGACTGACCTGAATTCATGCATACTTTGCTCTGTCAATTTTCTCTAAAGGAGAAGGGTTTGGGAATGTCATGGTGAGAGAAGGCTTGCACAGATACAGTTGCAAACTAACAGATGCCAAGCAAGATGGTGCTTTAACATGAAGCCAATGCTCTTAATGACATCTCTGTTACCTAGTTGGAAAATCAATACTTTCTTAGAGTTAGTGTTTAATGTTAAAGGAGACTCTATATGCAATATGATTCTTAAAGGGATAGTTCAACAAAAATGCAAATTCTGTATTATTTCCTCACCCTCATATCACTCCAAACCTGACTTTCTTTCTTCCTTCCTTGGAACACATACACAAAAAGATGTTTTGAAGAATGCTTTTGTCCATAGAATGAAAGTCAGTGGGGTCCAAAACATTGACTTTCATTGTATGGACAAAAAAAAAAAACCTTTTTATTCCACAGAAGAAAGAAAGTCAAACAGAAATGGAATGACATGATGTGAATAAATGATTTTACCCTTTAAACCAAAATATTAAAGTTGGGAAAGGGCAAGGTCCAGTGAAAAAAATGGAGGAAAGATCATGCTCTCTCTCACCACCCATGCCCACAGAGACTTAAGGAGCTCCCAAGATCAAAACACACCATGCAGTCGACTCTGAGGATGCTGACATCCTGAGTAGAAAGATGTGTCATAAGGGCCAGGGTTAAAGAGTTAAAACATACGAGTGAATCATGTCTTATGGAGACTGCCACCATCTTGGAATTGATTAGGCTCAAGATCAAGTAGAACTGTGCTTCAATTTCCTTATTGAAAGGGGTATGATTCAGTGATCTTCTACTGCAAATGTGATGTCGTTCTAGTGTATATGTTGAAAAAGAAGCCCACTCTGATGTTTGAACTCTTTGGGTGTTAGTTTCAACTGCCTTGGATGCCAGCTACACTGAAGTAATGTCTACTTCAGAGCATCAGCTACCAACCCAATGAAAGAGCTACGATCAGGCAGGGAGTTGCACCAACCCACACCCACTGGTACCTTCCACACAAAACAAAACCCAGTGTCCCTTTATGTTTAGACCACCTTTTTTGTCTCAGCTATCCTCCAAAAACATTTTTCTTACCTTTGACATTCTGACGATTATACCAGTTCTTTTTAATATCAACAAACCCTAATGTCCCAGCATAATTCATGCAGGCACTTTTAGAAAGCACTGGCTTAAGGAATACAAAATAGTAACTAAATATGGACTACAATGACATTGCTCAGGATACAGGTAAATTAGAAAATGAAAAACTAAAAGGAACTTTTTGAAATGACTAAATACTGAAAAAAAAGAGAAATGAGGAGATAACTTTCAAATTGAAAAAAATTTTTTTTGAATAGTTGTTTTAGTCCATCATTACTATTTTATTAATGGTTTTAGTCCAAAATTCAATGCGTGTTAACTTCAAGGCCATCTAGTAGCTAATTTGTATGGATTGAATATAACTGTATTTGAATACAAAGCATTGGCTTGGCTGTAGGTTTGGGTTGCAATCCGGCTCTCACCACCTCAGTCTAACCTCAATGGCATGCACATTGAGGAAAATGAAGAGCTTTTCAGTTCTCATTTCAAATAACAAATCACATGAGCCTGTCTGGAATCCTTTGCAGGCTACTTGACATGAGAATGATTTCAGAGGCAAGTCATCTTGCCCTGTAGTTATTCTATATCCAATACAAAGAACATGGAAAATCTGCTATAGCCATCATTTAAAAGTCTTTTAACTATTGACAAGTCTAGCAAACATCTTGCAATGCAATAACACTTAACTGCCGGTAAGTTAACTAACCCCAAACATTTTCATGCCAAGAAGACTTTAGAATGCATCAGATCTCAGGTAAATGCATTGAATACACACTCAGAGTCATATATAGCAGCCATCCAGGATGGAGTGGAAAAGCTAGGCATTTGTGGAAGGTTAACAGATAGTCCTGCTACTGGCACGGGAAGATTTGGTACTTTGGGAATTTGGAGGTTCACATTTGGTAGATTCACATTGGGCAGATTACTTGTTAAACTCCTGCAGAAACAGACAAAAAAAGAAACAAAAAATTCCATAACAGTGGCAGTGTGGAATGCTGCAAATAAGCAATGTAAGACATACAATACAAAAAAGAGAAACTGAGAAATGGGAAAGACCATTTTTTACACATAAAGAGCAGACATAAAAACTGGAGGTAGGGAATCTACAGCACATTTAAACAGAAGACCTGAGTAGAAAGAAACTTGTGGTCAATAATATCGACAACAGCACACTTATATAAAAAGGAAGTAAAAGCAGAATTTTTCCACAGCAAGAACAAACAGCAGCTTGAGAGATTTGAGGACGGTGGTGGGGTGTTACACATACAAACAGACAACAAACAAATGAGGGAAACCATACTGACATTTAATTCTCAAGGGCATAAGCTTAATTGACAGAAGAGTATTCTGTTAGGCTGGGAATATTTGTGTAGGCGGTATCTTTTCTAAAGATTATCTAAATATTGTAATCTGTTTGTTGGGAACTGGTACGAAATCATTACAATCAACATGCAAACCAAAATCAAGCATGACAGAGTTGATTAGGACATAAAAAGCATTCAGTTTAAAGCGCACGATATGAGGGTTAGTTCACACAAAAAAAGATGGAAACCTACAAGACACTGGCTGAAGTCTATCCTGATAGATTGGGGACTTGGTGAACTTCCTCTAATGTTTGGCAGTTTTCTCATGTAAGGCATGGTTAAAGAGGTCACTCTAGTACTTAACATTTTTTTTCTTTTTTTGGCATAAACAAACTGGTTTCAGACTTTACCTGAGAAATCTAACTGGATGCTAAACAGTTTCATTTGATTAGCTGTATAGTTTTGCAGAGAACAAAATCCATCTTAGGATGGGGATATGCCTATCCCTGCTATCTCTCATATATAGGAGCTATTTTTTAGAGATTTTTGTGATGTTTTTGTCCTGAAAGGCCCTGCCTCCTGGTGACCGCACACATCGTTGAAGAAATGCTGTCTTACTTTACAGGTTCCCATGACTCCCGCTCAAATCCCCTGTGAATGGACTGAGTGATGGAGGACTCCATAAGATCCACATATCGCACCACAAGAGGGGCGTACAGGTCCTGCAGATGTTTGTGAAACTTTCCGTTACACAGGTGATCTGTAAAAACAGAAAAATAGTAGGTTATGACAATTTTGAGAGTAACATACCCAACTTTTACATTAAAATCTCTATTTTAATCAGAATGAGAGTACTTTGCAGTACTCTTAGAAGACAATACTTTCAGAACTCTTAACCAAATATTGCAAGAAGTGCTTACAGTCGGCACGGAGGAAATCATTTAGAAGCTGAAAGAGCGGGAAACTGTCCCAGCTCTCGGGAGACTGGATCTCAAGAGCAGCATCCATTTCAACTCCATAGAGCGACAGGAAGTTCTCAGCGTGCTCCACCATCAGGTCTGACCACCATGCAAAGGCCTTGACAGTCCAGTAAAGGAAGAAAGAATGGAAAAAGAAGCAGAGAGTTAGAAAATAACACGTGTATTAGGTAATCTCAGACAAGAAAAAGATTGTAAACTGGTTAAGTGTCTGCCATATGGTATTTCACATATTCACTTTGTACATCTTCTTCTAAAGTAATGGCTCTTCATTTGAACAGTAAGAGTTCAAATGAAGAGAAGTAAGAGTTTTGGTCTGAGTGGTTCATATTTTGCTTCAGCGTTTGAGGTCATTATGTTAATTAAATAGATAAGGCTTTCAAGTAACCAGTTTACAAGGGTTAAGGTGATAAATTTATCATTATGGAGTTTAAAACTTACATTAAACCATTTATAAATTTGCAACACAGAAAATTCTACTATATATCCAAAACAAAGTCTAAATATTATGAAAAACATTTCACCATAAGAAGAAATTTATGAATCTTCTAAAAAAGGTTGCATATCTTAAGAATTCTGAAGCCCTCTATAGGAAACATGTTAATCCAAATATAAAAATTGAAACTCATTTAATAAGAGGGCCTGTCATTCAAAACTAAAACATGACAATACACCTTAAATCTTGTGTTGCAAATGTTTGCATATTTGTGACCAGAGGTTATTTTTCCTATATCAGGTCAATTCCCAGTGGAGTCAAGATGCCAGAGGAGGTGCAGTTCTCATGCAAGTGAGGTAGAAATCCCTGCATGCTTTTGCCCTCCAAATGGAAGATGTAGTTGAACCGTTCACATCACTGCATCCCTACCCTTCGGGATGGGGATGTGTCTTGCGATCATGCAACATTGCCATCTCTGATACGCCAAAAACTGCAAGCAAGCAGCAGACTTCTTTACTTGGCAATGCATATGGTTTGACTGAATATTTTTTCTTTAATCTCTTAAAGTGACCATCAATTTTGGGCCTGTAGTTGGGTATTGAGCAGGAGTTTCTGAGATCAATCAGGCTTGCTTGCAGTCTTGGCATAAAACACTTTTCTTCTAATTAAAACAACCAACCAGTGATAAACCCATTCAGGGAATTGATCAGCCTTTTAAAGAGGCTTAATCCTTCCCTTTGGTTGGTCATTTTTTTTTTACCCCTCTAAACCCACAGTTTCAAAGAGCCTCGAAACATTTCCCCCAAATCCGCAATACTACAAAGGGATAGCAAGCTCTAAAACCAAACTTACCACACAACTTACCTGCAGGCTTCATAATTAACACTCGAAAAGCTACAATGGTCATAATATTGGGACCAACAAATATAGCATTTGCTAGTGTAGCAGGGCAACGCATATGGCTGAGCTTAACCAGACAGACATGTATAAAGTGGGGTTAGAGAGCGATAAGAGACACCAAATCTAAGCAACCCATGAATCCTTCCCCAAGGCCCTTCTTGCTAATCTGGAAGCACTGGGTAGGTGTTAACATTAACATACTATTTACTAAATGCAAAAATTATACTGCGCAATAAAATCAGCAAGAGTGGTCCTGGGAAGAGGGCTATATTATGAAACTGATTTGGTCATTTTGAAGGATTGTGAAGTCCAATTACACTAGCAGAAGGGAACACGTCTAACTGGGAAAAGTTAGGGTGACACAACTAGCGTGGCGGGTGGGTAAATGTAAACATTCCCCCTGGAAGCAAAGGAATCATTGAGCATTGACCTTGCCGGTCAGGGACACAAGCCTTACAAGTTTGAAGGGAGACTTGACAGGCACAATGCTGAGGAATTAAGACGAACCCATGTCGGATGCGGCAAAAAGGGAACCCTTCATAGCTCATGCACAAGCCAGTAAGGGGCTTTTTTCACTGCATTCATTTTGACCACATACCTCTTTTCCCTGCAACAACACCATGGAGTGAATGGTGAGGAAAACATGAACATGTAGAGGTGATGTATGTGCAAAGTGTTAAAGTATGCACAAAATATTGATTATAAACAAATTTTCCAACAACTTTTGGATAAAAATTCACAATTGCGAGATCTAATTCAACTGCATGATATAAAGTTGCAAATACGTTTGGTTGAAATGGCCTTCCATGGATATATAGTATGATGCCACCAGTTGTGTAGTGAAGTTCAAGCATTGTAGTTTTACAAAGTAAAATGTAACAGTATGATCTACAGATGGTTCTATAATGTCTTGGTGCCAAATCTAAAATATTTTGCTCATTTGTGCATCTTGATCAGTGTGTGAGGGGGGAGATATTTAAGAATTTCTCAGAAATCCAAGAGACCAACACTTTATGTTAATTCTATCATGTTCTTTAATAATCGTCTTGTCCCATTCCACCCAGACATAACAGAAAAGCCCTTAACTGCGTGAATCCACATGCTTGAGGGAAAAGGTACACTATGATGACAACTTAAGAAAAAAAGAAACATGATACTGTACCGACTGGTCTCCTGTACTTGTGACCGCAGCCTGTTAAGCATATTCAGAAAGATACAGTAAATCTATAAATCTCAGGAAGACCATGGATTACCTAATACTTTAAATTGCATCTCGGAATAATGCCAATTATGCATTTGTTCTTGGAGTAGTAAATGCTGAAACATGCCAATTATCATAATTATGGCTTAAACCCGTACTTGGCTCTCTATTCATAATGCATCTTCAGTTCTATTTAGTTATAGGCATTCCAAAGGAAACTGTCGAACATTCAGAACACAGAAACAATCTGTATTTTTGAGTGCCTAGAAAAGCGCTATATAAATATAATGAATTATTATTATTATTATTATTGTATTCTGAGGCTTACTTTAGAGTATAGATCCAGGGAAAGTGGTTTAGAGACCTGGATCTCACGGGAGAGTGAACTCTTGCTGTTTCACTAATTTCCACTAATACAAATTGCATTGTGCAAACTGCACAGCCGCCTTTTTTATTATTAGAGAGGAGCCACTGGCCATTTAAATCAGCCCTATTTTGTACTAAAGAAAAAAAGAGAGTGAATGTGAGGGAAAGAGAGAGTAAGAGTCCAAACTCACCTCTGCGTGATGGTCCTGGTTCTGATGTAGAACCTCAATGACTAACTCTGCCAGGCGGATGACATGCTCCAGTTTTTTAGCAGGCGTAGCTAGGTTAGCTACATTCTCTGGAGCAGAATGGTGGGGAGAAGAGGGATGGTTAATACTTCAGTGGTTGATTATTATATTTATTCTATGAATCTCTGATGTCATGGGCACTACAATGCAGTGTGAAGAAGCTAAGGTCATTAATACCTAACTGAGCATGCAGAAATGACAACACTGTTGATGACACTCATAACACTTCAAGAAAAGATGCCTAACTGATGTCAGAGACACTAGAATGTAATCTGTGAAGTAAAAATATTGTTTGGCAAGCTTACAACTAAATTGGTGTACAAAAGTCTGAGACCACAAGTGGTTCTACATTGCTTTTTTTCCTAATTAATATATGTTTTGTCATTACTAACTACACTGAACAAAATTATAAACGCAACACTTTTGTTTTTGCCCCCATTTTTCATGAGCTGAACTCAAAGATCTAAGACTTTTTCTATGTACACAAAAGGCCTATTTCTCTCAAATATTGTTCACAAATCTGTCTAAATCTGTGTTAGTGAGCACTTCTCCTTTGCCGAGATAATCCATCCACCTCACAGGTGTGGCATATCAAGATGCTGATTAGACAGCATGATTATTGCACAGGTGTGCCTTAGGCTGGCCACAATAAAAGGCCACTCTAAAATGTGCAGTTTTACTGTTTGCTTTACTGGGGGGTCCGAAAACCAGTCAGTATCTGGTGTGACCACCATTTGCCTCACGCAGTGCAACACATCTCCTTCGCATAGAGTTGATCAGGTTGTTGATTGTGGCCTGTGGAATGTTGGTCCACTCCTCTTCAATGGCTGTGCGAAGTTGCTGGATATTGGAAGGAACTGGAACACGCTGTCGTATACGCCAATCCAGAGTGTACATAGAAAAAGTTTTAGATCTTTGAGTTCAGCTCATGAAAAATGGGGGCAAAAACAAAAGTGTTGCGTTTATAATTTTGTTCAGTGTATATCATCAGCATAATAGTTTAAGTAAAAATCGAAAAATACAATTTCGTAGTATTCTGGTTTCTCGCTCTTTTCACAGCATGCATGAACTCCACTACTTTGTGTAAAACCTCATAATCATGTTTTCCAGCATGATTTGAGAATGTTTCAGAGTATCTTGTGTGTCAATGTACACAAAAACTTCTTGCAGGAGAAATACAGAATCTTTACTATGCTGTATTTACATCATCACTTTTCCTAAACCCTAACATTTTAAATCCAGGTTTGAATTTTAGATGTTTAATGTGGACACAGACTTTTGGATCCCACTGTAAATACATTTATACTGACACTGTATTTTTATGTATCTAGGTAAATTCCTAATAATGGGTAGGACTTCTCACTGCTGTCTAGAATTTTAGGCCAACACATGAGAGAAAAAGCAGACCAGATTGTCAAACATATGCAACACTTTGATGAAATGAGTACATCAGGACACACAATAGTGTTTCTGGTTTAACATATAATCAACTTTTATCTGAACAAGATGAAATGAGTAAGACAGAAAAAAAAAACAGCTAAAGAAATTAAATAAAATACCGACCAACTCAGCAACGCTGAGGTCTCCACTAAAGGAGAAAAGAAAATCTTTAATTTATTGACTGAAATGCTACTTCAGTCATGAAGGATATTACTTCATTACGGTTCATCATTTCGTCTGACTCTAATCTTAGTGTCTAGAATGAACCATGCCATTGGTTTATCGGTCTGTTAAATTCATGGGTTATTAATGGGGTTGTGGGGCCCTGTACTGAAATTTACCCATTAATATCTTATAGAAACTCATTCTTCCTAAGGCCATGATGTCATCAACACAACATGATAAAGCAATGACAATGGATTTAATGATAATCTATGATTATCATTATCCAAATTTCATACTTTATCTATTTTCAATGTGTCTAAAATGTTCTGGACTGGGAATTAAAGAAGCTAAATATCTTAAACTGATGAAGATTTAGAGAAGTGGTTCTCAGCTGGTGGGTTGTAACACAAAAACTGGTTGCAGATTTGCAGCAAAACCAGTTGAGTAGGGTACAACGGTGCTAAAGGCGCCCCGGGGTAAAAGGCACCTTTGATATTATTTTCATTTAAACCACTAGATGGAACAAAAACGTGGCGTAGCACTTTCCAAAACATCCGCTTTTCAAGATGCACGCGTATTTTTGTCTGATGCTTGACGCGATCGCGCGCAGCAGCGCAAAGTTGATTCTGTGCTTACTTGATCTAATATTTTATGTTTTTTAAAATGTTGTAGATTTAAGTAGCAAATGAGAATCGCTAAAATTAATGCATATATTTTGAGACAAAGGTCTTCTTTATGATTTTCAGTTTTGTTTAAGATAATTAAAGCAACAGTTTTTAAATAACGAAAGAATATATAAAAGTATGGTATTTTAGCCCCCTGCTGTTGGGGCTAAAGGCGCACAGTAATTAACATGATAATTAATAGATGGCTGACTTTTCCATTTGTTTTCCATTTGTTGACATGATATGGTGGTTAGATTCAGATGGTAAATATAATATATTAAGTTGGGTGTCCATATTAGAGATAGTCACCCTGTTTAGAATGAAACCATCATATTTAAAAACATGATATTAATCATATCATATAATAAAATATCATTTGTTGTTAGTACTGTAAATATATATTCAATTATTATTAGATCTCCTTCAATACTTTCAGAATCTTTAATGACAGTATATTTATTGAAAAAAATAATAATTCTTTTATTTTTCAAAATAAGCAGAAAATAGTACAAACTTTGCTAAAGTGATTGTTTTGAACAAGTATTAACTTAGACATTATTGAAAAAAACATTATTTTAGCTGAAGTATTTGTATCAATACCATGTGCCTTTTACCCCGTGTGGGGTAAAAGGCCCCTCTTGCCACCTCATACATACATTCATTTTGAACAAAATAAACAACTTGAATGATTTATTTTCACACAAAATCTGTTGCTCCATTAATGTTCAATACAACGTACATATTTTTTTCTGCAATTATACATTTTAGGCGCAGTGAATGGCACATTATTTCTTAAGGTGGGCCTTTAACCCCGTTGTACCCTACTACTTATTTAGAAAATCTGTTGATGTCAAGATTTAGATATTCTTCAGTTACAAACTTATTCCCAGTACTTTAGTGAGAAACATTTGCAATCCTTCTACCCTCACATTTTAACACATTGAAAAGACTGCCACTGAAATATTTGTGAAAGATAGTATTACTTCTTGTAAGTCTGCATAATGTAACACCATCAGACAGACCGTTCAGTGCTAAGAGGTTCCTTTTCTATCTAAAGTCATAATATAACACAAAATACGTTTTTACCCAAATTTTGTGCACATATTTATAGAAGAATACTATCTTCACAAAAAAAAGAATTGCACAAGGGGGATCCTTGTCTTTTGATGTTTACAGGACTTTCAGACCAAATAAATTTTCCCTGTAAATGTGTTATGTGCATGTGCCAGGAAGTGTTGAAGGGGACAGGGGATGACGTCAAACATAGCTTCACCTGGATCCTTCTGATCCTTTAGAGTTTTCTCAACTTGAGAGAGAGAGAGAGAGAGAGAGAGAGAGAGAGAGAAAGAGTCAGAGCAATATAAGGAGAGGGAGAAATAAGGGAGAAAGAGAAGGGAGAACTGGGGGAGGAAAAATAATTATTCCTCAAGGTGGCATGTTTTAGCCCAAAGTCGGTGCAGCATCCCTGGTCATTTCACTCTTGGTCGCTCTCCAGAGAATTATTGTGTATTTGATATAGAATAATAAAAAACAAAAACAAATGGCAAACAAACACACATGTAGATAATTACCTGGAACGACAAGAACAAAAACACATAGCAAAGTAGAAACTGAACGACACACTGAACAAAGAGACAATAGCCATTGTTCGGTCGCATGACAAATCGAACACAGTTGTAGTAATCACGAACAAGACAGACTTGTGATGTTGGAACATGCAAGTCATAGCTCGTACACGTGTGCTAACTCCTGCTCTCCCGGTAGCTCAGTCACCTGTTGATGTGTCTGGAACCCCCCAGTGAAACCACCTACCACACCACAGTAACGATATACACTCAGACAAAGTAAAATAGTGAGCAAAGTAAAAATGCATTCAAGTCACAAACATGAGCTTCAACCAAAAACGAACAAGAGGAAGCTGAACGGATGCATCAGTCATGTTGTATTACAAACAAATGGAACATCTCTGCCAAAAGGAATTGGAATCGAAACGTTACGTATCGTTATCTACTCAGTGTCTGTCATCTGTATGAAAATGGCAAAACAGAAAAGTTCCAAGAAGGATGTGACATGGAGGATTGAGTTGATGAAACAGAGGTAAAGAATGAGTGAGGAGTGAGGAGAGGGTGAGGAGTTTTTACTCACGGATGGTTAAATCCATCACATGTGTAGCCAAGGAGTAGACAGGATGATCATACATTTCCCTCTTTTTTCCTAAAGAAAAAGAGGATTCCGGCATGCAAGAGTTTGGGGTCAGAGGAAAGGGGGTCAAGGGTTGAATATGGTGAAGGGATGTCTTGTGTTAAAGGGGTGGTTGATTGCGATTTCACTTTTTTAACGTTAGTTAGTGTGTAATGTCGCTGTTTGAGCATAAACAATATCTGCAAAGTTGCGGCGCTGAAAGTTCAATGCAAATGGAGATATTGTCTTTTAAAATTCTGGCAGTTTAATGCCTACAAAAACGGCTCGTAG